GGGGCGACTCTCCTCCAGGGGGGCTGCTGGTGAGGAGGGGGTCGTGGGGGGAGGCAAGGCTGGGGCAACGGCACGTGTGCCCACAGAGAGGGCTCCGAGTGCCGCCTCTGGCACGCGTGCCATAGGTTCACCACCACTGGTATATTCATTTTCCTCCCAGTCCTCCAATTTGAAAGAGCTATACTTGTGATGAAATATATTTTGTCCTGCCTACAGAAGCTTTCCATTGGCTAATTAAAAGTCGTTTTAATTTCAAAGACCCCTGTTTTCATTTCTCTCCCACAGACTATCTCCTGCGGCTCCGCCATGTTCACACGAAGGAGTAAGAAGATTTAAAAAAAAAAAAAAGGAGGGGACTTTATTATCTTTTTGTAGGTGCTTTTGTACATGAGAAATAAAAAAAAAAATCCACTGTCCGTATCAGACAATAAAAATCGTGTTTTTATTCAAAAACAACAGATTTTAGGATGACCAAGCTTGCCCATTTATTCATTTTGATGCAGTACTGAAGAAAAAGTAGTAAAAGGCTGGGGCAAGTGTATTTATTATTTTTATTTTATCTTATTCGTTTTGATACAATATGGAAGAAAAAGTAGCAAAGGTGTATTTATTGATGCGTTTATCATCTTACTAAATAATTTATTTATTTGTTTACATATTTAAATAATTGATATGGCCACCCCAATCTCAGAACTGGGAGTGCAGTTGAGAGGTAGCCACATCTGTAGCAAACCACAATGGCACCGAAAGGACAATCCACGTGCTGTGAGATCGTCATACAAACGCCACTATTAAGTACCCGCATCGCAGCATCGCATGTTACATCGCGGCGCACATGGGTGTCCATCTTCTCCTTTCCTTTTGCACTGCAGAAGGTCCAGAAATGATTTCACACAAAACTAGCCAAGTACACCTGCAAGGTTATTGTTAAAAAAGGTAAGAAGATAGAGCTTTGATGGCATCATTGCAGCTTCACCTTCTTGGCCAGATCTTCAGGGTCCTTCTGGAACAAAGATATCTCCATTCAGCCTTCTGTAGAATAAACATGTCCTGGTGACTTCGTTTCCAGGTGGGGCCTGTTGGAAACACACACACACCCAGCATTCTTCTCCTTTCTCTACCACCTGAGTGATGAGGTTCAGGTCCATTCTTCTATTCATTTAGGACAGGGCTTTTCAACCTTTCCACCCATTGTACCACTTTTAGGATATGGCAATATCCGAGTACGACCAGTCGCCTGGCACTAGCAAGGTGTCAAAAACTATGTCCAAAAACTTTACAAAATACATCAAGAAACTGCAGCTTCCTGCAATAACTCCAGCAATGTTACAAAAAACTGCGCTACTCGGAACATCTTATATTTTAAGGAGATACCTGGTTGACACCTAGGATGCTGGTCGCAACCCGTGTCAACCATCAGTACCAGCCAATTTGAATGTTCAGTTGACTGAGGTTCATGTTTAATGAATAAAAGATGATGATGATGATGATGATGATGATGATGATGATGATGATGATGATGATGATGATAATAATAATAATAATAATAATAATAATAATAATAATAATAATAATAATAATAATAATAATAAAGTTGGAAGGAACCTTGGAGGTCATCAAGTCCAATCCCCTGCTCAGGCAGGTAACCCTATACCATTTCGGACAAATGGCTGTCCAGTCTCTTCTTAAAGACTTCCAGATGAAAATTACCATCCATTAGCAAATAGTCAGGATGCTTTCACTTCCTCATGGGTTGCCATGAATTTACAGAGAAGTCCTTGATCCTTTTCCTCTGCTGAGAAATAGAAATTAAAATGCTACTTGGGAAATCAAAACCTAAAACTAAGATATAAGGGCTGGGTCAATATTTAATGGCTGGAAGGTCTATCATGGAAACGAAGGCAGAACTATCTGCAATGCTATTGGATATCTGTCATTAGCCATGCCCACTGTGGAAATGTTTTTAAGCCAGTGTGTGGGGAAAAATTCATGTGCAGCAAACTGCCATGGTTTCCCCCCCACAAACCTCATAATTCTATAACCTCTTGATACCCTTTGTCACAATGAAGCAGCCAGAAGGTCATCCCCTTTTGACTTAATGCCTCACTTACCTAAACAGATAATATGCTTAAGTTCCTTCCTATCTCTTCCTGTCTTTGTTAAGCTCTTTTCTCCTTTTGATCTACCTGTATTTGTTCTTTACCTCTTTGATCATGTAATGTGTTACTAGGAATTTTCTAATGAAGAAACTTGATGTCAG